CGATCATCTCTGAGGTTTTCTTCAAACAAAAACAAGAAACAGATGGGATGTGATCGTGTGAATGGGAAGGGGAAATGGGAGCTTTTGGTGGCTCCTGCGGCGGATGTGAGGTAATTTATAAGAGACGGGTTGTTAGGGTTTGTAAAGGAGAGGGAGCGAACGCGCGTTTTGAGTTTGACTCCTTCAAGTGGGTTGGCCAATCATCACCGTCGGATCAAAGATGGTTTTGATTGTCAAATGTAGGGACAAAACAAAAAAAAATAGGAAAAAAGAAACAAACAAAAAAACGTGTATAGCCGCGCGGCTATACTATTCCATGGTCAAAAATAGGACAGCCAGGGTATAGCCGCACGGCTATACTATTCCACTTCCAGATGAATCCAATTCACCAATTCCGCACTATCAGCAAACTCACATACCCAGCAAGGCCTTGGAAATCACGCCCTCAAGCATCAGCCAACAAAAAATGCCATTATCTATTGTGACTTCCATCTAGTCTTTCATATGCACAACAGGGTCTTGGATATTATGCGTGGCTTTAATCAATTGGGATGGCAACGGGAAGTCTTGCTCAAGTATCCGCCCAACACACCTTCTTTAGCTCCACCAATTAAATACACATGGGTCTTCTCCAATGTTAATAGCTGTAAACGATTTCAGCTTCACAATTGATGGTAAACTTCTCTAACTCTATCTTTCTGGGACCAGTTGTTGTAGGTATAAATTGACACTTGCACAAATGCATTTCAGGTGTTTAATGAAATGACAAAGTGAGTTATTGATATTTTGTGGAGTTGATAACTCCACCTATTTCGATCCCTTAAGCTTCCAAAATTATAGTTTTTGCTCCAAAGCCTTGCTAAGTATGATTTCCTACAAAATCTTCACCAAACACATAAACTAATCAATTTCACACGAAAACAATGCAAATAGAGATAGATTATATATGCAAAATATGAATCTATCAGTAAGATAACGGATTTCAAATAATTCAACTGAATAGCTTTTCCATCACTAAATCTCGCGGCTGCATCTAGTAACTCTGGATCGCCTATGTACCCTTAATAAGGGATCAAGCTACACGTAGTTCTTTCAATGTAATAGCAAAACCATTTTTCATAAGCTCTGACGTACATTCTTTTCAACTTTTCCTATCCTCGGAACAGTTGATACTCAGAATATATGTAGGTCATTCCTTGAATTTCCTCTAGTTCATAATTCAATTTATATATATTTATATGTTATTGGCTTAAATTGTATATATATTGTAATAATAAAAAGATAAAGATAAAAAGTAAAATAAAACAAAATGAAAATAAAAATAAAACAAATTAAAACCAACAAGCTTCGAAGATACTCTTATCCTTGCATCGAAACTCACGTAAGGCTCATATATAAATATATGTATATATGTGTGTGTGTGTGTATATATATATATATATATAAATATATCAACAACTTAATTAATATATATATATTCATCTTTCACTTGTAAAACAAATTTGTCGTTTAAGAAAAAAATGGTAACTGGATAAAATCCTCAATTTTAGTTTAAAAGCATCTCAAAACTGAAATTCTCTCCACCTAGGTGTACCCCCATTCTTGATCCGTCAATTCCATTATTACCGTCAATTCCAAATATCCCGCTAATTTTATATATATGTCAATTCCATCTTTGCATGCCTCGGAAACACAAAGTTAACCGAACCGCATTCCTCGCAGGCCTCGGAGACACCAAGTCAACTCGGTCCGCATTCCTCGCAGGCCTCAGGGGACAATTAGTAAGCTTGAGCCGCATTCCTCGCACCACACGGTTCAGGCATCCCCGAAACTCGTGGGGCATTATTTATAAATGACAAACCATTTCAAAGCAACTAGGGGGCACTCCTGTGGTGGGTTTGAAAAACCATATCCCAAACTTATATCACTACTTTCCCTTTATTTCACAATCCATTTCCTGACCTTTATATCAACTTTCTAATAAATTGATTCTCAACTATACTTAAAATATATATACCACATTCTGATAAAAACCAAGGGCCGTGATTCATCATTTTCAGCTACTGGGTATTTGTATTAAATATGGACATGCACTTAAATATTTAATTAGTTATTAACCACTTTGAACTCCGATTAGCATCCCATTCCAATACTGTAATAATAATCTTAATAGCAAATAAATAACTAAATAAATAAGTTAATAAAATAATAAATAAATATTCACTACCCCTTTAGATTCCATCGAACACCTTCAAATAACACATAATTAAATTATGCACAATTTAGCAATCTATAAATAACTAGCTATACTCAATTCGTAACATGACCTAGATAACTCATTTTCAGTCAGGACTCGTTTACATGGTTGTTCTAACACTTCTCAAAGGATATAACTACCTCGGAAGACTCACGGTCAACCAATGGGTCAAACTGCCTAAACTTGGTCAACAGGGCCCGCGGGGCCCACGACCTTCGATCACAAATCCGGGAGTCCCTAAAGGTTCAACATACTCTTCTAAACCTACCCTGCAATCAGACGATTACAAGTTATCTTGCCTTAGGGTTCACGATTTCGGAGTATCCGGGACTCTAATTCATGATCCGTCGAATCCTACACTGTCCTAGAAATACAAGGTACAACATACATGAATTTGGGTTCGATCCAACAGTCTGAACATATCAAACCAGGAAATTGCACAATAGGCGAAATTCATTCGAAACTCAAACGATATCCAAATTGAAATCTGAGCACACCTACGCGCTCATGACAACTAGGGGATCCCATTTGGACACAATGCCCCTCTACTACAATACCCACACGCCGCCACACATGCAGGCAGCGCATGGGTATCCCAAGCGATAGCAGTTGCCCGAAAAACCTCAAAATTGAGGGCCAAATTTCCTATCATAGGTTCAGAATATTGATTGGAGCCACTTTTATTCCTGGGCCTACCCCGAAAAATGGCCGGAAGTAGCCGGAATTTCAACCCGAAATCCGGCAAACTTTGGGTTACAAATCAAGTTACCTACGCTAGAAATCGATCAATTCCTACCCAACCATCAGTTAGAGCATGAAAAATAGGTGAAAAATCATACCTCACACGCCTGGTTTGAATAAAAACCGATCGGGTTTCACAGTTTTCCGACGGCTGAGAAGGCGGCAGGCGGCGGGAGTAGGCTGGGGTGAGACGATGGGGTTAGGCCGGTCCGATGGGTGCCTGTTTTGTGGCCGGTCGTGACTGGTGGTGGTGGTGGCCTTAAAAAAGGGGGTGGCGGCTGTGCAAAATTTTTGAATGAGGGGTTTCAGCATGACAGGAGAGAGAGAGAGAGAGAGAGAGAGAGAGAGAGAGGATAAAAATCTGACTTATTCCAAATTACGATTTTACCCCTCTACGTTTTTTGATTGTATCTTCCTCAATACAACTCGGATTTGAGCCCACTACGGGCCAGTTTGGCATTGTTGTGCTGTGAAAATAATTACTGTCAGATTTGCTGTGTGAAAAATCAGTTGTTAGATAAAGCAGTTTGGCATTTGGTAAACTTTTTGTTAAAAGTGTTGTTGGTGCTAATTCTCGCATAATCATTAAACTCAACGCCTCTTCGAAACTGATTCCTGCATAATCAGAAAATAAAAGCACCTCATTAGATGCTTTCCTTTATAGCTTTCTCTCACAACAATTTTTAACCATAATTGATTTTCTCATAATTTACCAAATGGGGCTGGGCTTCCCAAATTTTTTAAAAAATCACTTATCACCCCAAATAAGCAATACCAAATGGGCACTACGTGTCTGCGGACTCGTTTCGACGTGCTATGCACAACGGTATAATCCGAATTCCCAAATTCCTTTCTGGTCAAACAGTCAACTTTAAACCTACTAAATTATTCACGGGGTATTTTCGTCTTTTATCTGAATAAATTAATAATTAAAGATTAGTTAAGGTTCGGGTTGTTACATAGGGTGTACCAGAGGTATTTTTGAATGTGGGAAGAGGGGGAATGAACAACCCTATTTAGGATAAAAGGATACCTATTTAGGGAATGAACAACCCTATTTAGGATCAAATTAACTAAGGAAATTTTAAGATAAAAGGTCATAGGACTAGCATTTCTTTTTGGATGTGGGAAGAGGGGGAATGAACCAGCGGTTTAAATGGTAACAAATCAATCTATAATATTTAAATGGTATAAATTTTCAAATACGACACAATTCTAGAGTTAGGGATTTTCCATTATAACCAGAATTGCATTTAAAATTTCTTAAGTAATTACGACACTCTCTTCATGGAAAAGAATCCCCAACATTTTCTCATTCTTGATAAATACTTAGATAGGAAGGAAGAATCACACAATAAACACTCTGATATAGGGATTTCATGAAGATGGCTACTCTCTCAAAATCTTCTTGATTCTTCTTTTTTGCGAAAGATTGCAATCAAAACTATCCATTTTTTTTAAAGAGAAAAATTAATAAGGAATATGTTTTTTTATTTTTTTTAAATTTTTATAGAAGAAGGGTAATGGGAGAAGAAGAAATCCAAACTAGGACTTCGAGTGGAGGGCGTGAGTTACAGGTCTCTTAAATAATAAGGAAATTTTAAGATAAAAGGTTAGAGTACAAACGTTTCTTTTTTGGATCTGGGGGCGGAATGAACCAATGTTTTTAAATGGTAAAAAATCAATCTTTAATAGCTAAAAGTTCAAATACGACAGAATTCTCGAGTAAGGGATTTTCCATTAAAACCAAGATCGCGTTTAGTATTTCTTAATTAATTACGACACTCTCATGGAAAAAAAAATCCCCAACGTTTTTCTTATTCATGATAAATAGTTAGATAGGAAGGATGAATGACACAGTAAACACTCCGAGTGTTGTTGTTTTCTTGTGTGAGTGTTTATGCGTATATTTTAGTATTCAGTGTTCTTCATATTGTGCTATTTCTCAATCCAAAGGGAAGATTTGAGTTGTTTGATCAGAGAAGAACATACAATATATATAATGGTGGTGAAGTTCAAAGATTCTAGTCTACTGAAGCCTGCTGAAGAAACATGGCAAGGTTGCCTAACTCTGTCAGAATTTGATCAAGTTGGCAGCATAACACACATTTCAACTATCTACTTCTACAGACCAGACCAAAACTGGGTCACCCAGCCTGAGACCATTGCCAATATCCTCAAAGACTCACTACGCCGCACTTTGGTGCCATTCTATCCACTGGCAGGTCGTCTGCGTTGGATCGAGGGACGCCGTCTTGAGCTCGACTGTAATGGCATGGGGGTTCAGTTCATTGAAGCCGAGTCTGATTCAAAACTCGATGACTTTGATGATTTTTATCCTTCTCCAGTATATCACTCTCTCTTCCCCGCTGTAGACTACAACCTCCCAATTCATGAACTTCCTATATTGCTTGTCCAATTGACAAGGTTCAAATGTGGTGGTGTTTGTCTCAGCTTGAAAATATCACATGCAGTTGTTGATGGCCATAGTGCTTCACGTTTCTATTTGGAGTGGGCTAGGGTTGCGAGGGGTCAGCCAATTGCCGTAATGCCATTTCACGATCGTAATGCCTTTCAAGCTCGACACCCTCCGGCTCAATCTCTTGTGTTTGAGCATACAGAGTTGAACCAACCACCAATTTTACTCGGGCAATCAAATGATATCGAGGTGAAAAACAAGAAAAACACTAACACCATGTTGAGGCTTACCAGAGACCAAGTTGAGAGACTTAAGCAGATGGCAAATGAAGGTACCAATTTCAACAACTCTGACACTAAGCGCCCTTACACGCGATATGAGACTGTGGCTGGACACATATGGAGATGTGCTTCCAAGTCAAGAAACCTTAGAGATGAACAGGCGATGCAATTGGCGGTTTGGATGGACTTTCGTAGTCGAATAAAACCTCCGTTGCCTCAAGGCTACTTTGGCAATGCAACATTTTATGTGAATGCCACAAGTCTTTCGGGTGACTTGTTGTCAAAGCCATTAGGATACGCATCGAGTAGAATAAGGGAGGCGATCGAAAAGGTGACAAATGATTATGTGTTGTCAGCCCTTGAGAAGTTGAAGAACCAACCGGACTTGACTCAGTTTCAAGACCTTCATCGTGCTATAGAGAGTGACCAAGGTTCTTTTCATGGAAACCCTAACGTTGGGGTTGTGAGCTGGTTGACAGTGCCTTTTTGGGGCCTTGACTTTGGATGGGGAAAGGAAATTTATATGGGTCCAGGAACGCATGATTTTGATGGGGATTTTGTGATCCTTCCAAGCGCTAATGGAGATGGTTCTGTGTTTGTGGCTTTGTCTCTACAAGTGGTCCATGTGGATGCTTTCAAGAAGCACTTCTATGAAGACTTTATATAACAAACTGGTATTTAAAGTTGCGCGTTTTTTCTTGTGATTTTTTCGTTTTGGTGCTCCATTTCTCTGACCCATTGCATGACGTGTTTCTGTTTTTGTCTGGACTTTTTTTATTTTATTTTGTTGTATGTGTGGTACTCTTTCCTCTCTCGGAGTTTTTCCGTATAATTTACCGTAGAAGGTTTTAATGAGGCAAGTTAACACAATGTTCTTGGGTTATTAATAAAATTTATCTTCCCTTCAAAAAGTTGTCGCGTGCTTAGCTTCATGTCAATTATATTATTGTTGCCCCTTCCTTGCTTTGTCTTGGGACATGCATGTAGTGGGTTCCAAATTCCAATCATGTTTTCGTTTTGCTTTTCTTCCATTTTTCATCTAGTACCTATAACTTCAATCACCAAGCATATTACAGAATATGAATCCAAAATAACGTTGAACTTCAAAATGTATTTTTGCTTCTTCGGTATTTTTTATTTTCTAATGTTTTCTTGAGAGATATAATTAATGCCCTTTAACCACTAGAACTATAAGCCCCTTGCAAAATAAAATTATTGCCATTTCAATTAAACAATATTTCAAGGGCAGCTTTTAATGCAAAACAAATAACCATATATTTTCAAGAACAACTTTTAATGCAATACAAATACACGACTGTTTGATAATTAAAAAAAAAAAAAAAAAAACCACTGTATCCATGTTTATTCTGCAAAAGAAATATGATGTCCATGTGTGTTTAAGGATGAATGATTCGGAAAGGAATATTGTTTAATTATAATGGTTGTGAAAAATATTAGAAGTCCTTCTTCTAATATTAATAACAGATAATAGGTAAATATGTTAAATAGATGATATCATGTAAACCCCATTACTTAATAAGAATTTGTTATTCTAAATACGGAACTAAGGTAAATAATTAAGGTTTTTTAGGTTTTAGACATAAAAAAATTTTCACTTTTGGAAAAAGCCAAAGCTTTTTCAAAAAAGACAAAAAAACCGCTCAACTTTCAAATCAAAGACATGCAAATGTATTGGATTCCTTAGGAAATCTAAAAATAAATAAGGGTATTTTTGTCCATTTTTGCTTCTTTTAAAATTTTTCTCTCTCCTTTTGCTTTTTCCAAAATGTCCCAAATAATTATCAATAGATCATAGGCAAATACGTTATTTAGATAATATTGTGTATTAAAAATTTATCAATATGAGATAATAGGTAAATACGTTAATTATGATATTATGTATTTAAAAAATAGATTTAAAAAAATAGATATAGTATTACTCATAAGGGAGCTTTCATTTTAAAGCACTATACTAATATGGAAGATAGGAATACAATTTCGCCTAATTAGCTTAAGGCCAAAGACCAAAAAGTAATACCTAATTTTACAATAATGTCATTAAAAAATATCAAAATTACACACAATGCCGCTTCTTCTATTTCAAGACGCCGCCCATCACTGGCTAGCCGACCAACTCCGTTGCCCTTTATTCACCCTAAAAGACAGAGAAGATTTTGTATGGTTGAAGGGACTCAAACCTTGACCCTCAAAAAGGAGGAAGCATCATTCACAAACCACTACACTAAACCTGTTTTTGTGATATTTATTAAATTACACAATATTTATATAAACAATCATTAAAAAATAAAGAACAAATTATTTCAACACCTATTCGTGTGACATTTGTACCAAATCCCTCATGCTATAGAGTTATACATAAATAGATCAATTTAAAGTTATAAAAATTTATAAGGTTTAAATGCTTATATATATTATATTGATAATTTTTTTAGGTTTATATAATAAGAAATGTAGATATCAATAGTGTAAAAATAAAAATAAAACAAAAACTGCAATAAAAAACTGCTCTATAAAAAAAATGTAAATATCAACGATGTAAAAAAAAAATTACAAACAAAAATAGAAACTACAACAGAAAAGAAAAAATTGCAATAAACTACTACTCTATAACAAAACAATGTAGATATCAATGGTATAAACAAAAACTAAATCAATAGAACTAGAAATTACACTGCAGCATATGGGAAAAAATAAACATATTAATAAGTAAGTAATAAAAATGCAAAACCATATGATGAAAGTACAAAAACAATCAAAAGACATCAATTGTTGATAGAATTGTATAAGTTCCAAATAATTCACACATTCATACTAAAATCCAAATTATCACTAAACAAGTGTACATAAAATGAAAATAGTTGTGTAGTTTCTAGAAAAACCAATTCTATAGAAACATAAATTTCACTGCACTGTAGAATCTAGCATAATTGCACCTTTTAGTTTCTCGCTTATTAATAGGTGCATTTTTGTCTAGACTTTGCATTGCAGTTTCCGTGTCTGTATAATTTTACTTTTTTTAAACTTATGTGCAATTTCCATTCTATGTACAATTGTTTATGGATAAGAAAATTTTATATTCTAAATAGCATTTTTGTTCAAATTTCGTTATGATTAGAGTTCATATTAGTTATAATATATGGGGCTAACCCTATCATTCATTAAAACCCAACCTCAGAGAGAGAGAGAGAGAGAGAGAGAGAGAGAGAGAGAGAGAGAGAGAGAGAGAGAGAGAGAGAGAGAGGCTCCCTCTTCTCTCTAGAACTTCTCACTTTCCCCACCGCCCTTTTCTAAGCAGCTGATAACTGTGCCACCGCCCTTCGGGCCGGCACCTCTACCACCTCTGGTGTGGCTTCTCTACCACCCTCTAATGTGGCCTTCCTTTCTTTCTTTTTTTGTTTGTTTTGGTTTGCCCTTCCTCTCTTGATTTTCCAGATGTAAACCCAGATCTCCTCCACCACTACTCTTCAGCCATTACACCTCTCTCACCCTCTTTTCCTCTCATACACTCACCCCAATCAGTCCATTTCTCTCCCCTCCGCACCAAAGCTCAAACCCTAA